GTCGTTGACTGAAACATCATTATGCGGTGCATGATTGTATAAAAAGGCAAGGGAAAAAAAAGCTGAAGTGGAAAAGATTGACAGAGGTAGAAGTAGTGCATGACCCAGCTTGCAGCCTGCTTTAGAAGAAACTTATCACTCTGTATCACTGGGAAAAAACTAACTGAAAATGAAATCAATTATTCAAGCATCCATAAACTTGAATGTTGTAACCATCTTTGAAAATATTTTGATATGCTGAAAGATGATGGTGCAATGAAAATTCAAAGAAACAGGTCATGCTTGTCAAGTTTAAATGTTATTTAAAAAATGATAGGCTCCCCAGCCCTATTGGGGACAGTTAAAGACTTATTGATGAGTAGAATTCCATCTGGGAAGATTGTGTTGGACTTTTACTGTAGTTTGTATTTTATGAATTGATTGTTTAAAATATTTTTCAAATATGAAATTATGATGTTGAATATGCCCTTTCAACTTAATATCTGCTTTCCTAGGGACTTTGGTATTCCCAGTCCTTTAATAAGAATTTCTAATAAAGGAGCTTTATCCATTTTGTAGTTTATGGTTCACATACTCTGTGGACAGTTAAAGCTACAGGGACTGTGGGTTCTTCTCAGTGAGTCCCCTTATCCACACATGAGCAAACTGAGACTCTCAGAAGTCAAGTGGCTTGCCCAGGTCCCTCAGTTCATGAGTACTCAGTTGGGCTGATAGTTGCTGTGTCCTGACTCCTGTTCTAGGACTCTTCTATGCTACTTTTATTAAAACAATCTATAAAGCAATTAGATTTCTATTAATAATTATTGGTCTTGTTTAGATTCTCTTCCTGAGGGCATGATTAGTCTTGGATAAACAGATGTAATTTGGAGGTCTTTATCATTATCATACCTTGAATTCAGATGACCTCACCAAAGCTTGAGGCCTGGTGAAGCAGTCAGACCTGTTAGATTCCTACACACTAGACAACTGTCATTTTGTATGTGGGGAGAAAAATTGTCTCTTTGGTTCCATAGTCTATTTAATAAAGCCTGGTCGTTTGTTTACAACTTTGGCTTCTGTAAGTTACTAGATTACTACTATCAAAAGTAGTGAATGTGTTCAGTTGATTATATTACTACAAATCGGTGAACAAGGCCCTAAAATTTAAGTGACTAAAAGTTGAGATACCAGTGTACAGAGAAGAGATAATATATTCAACTAGTTATCTAACCCTCTGAAATTATTCTCAGTGGGGACATCAGTACTCTTGTTTACTTATTAATTTGTTTTGGTTGTTATGAGCTGAGTGTCAAGTGCAATTAGCATTGCTCTATTAGAGCTTGCTTTAGAGAACACTGCTTCTCATTATGATGATGAATAGTAGTTAGCACTAGTTACTGAGTATTTTACTAGGTCCCAGACACAGTGCTTAGCCCGTCTTATATGTACTTTCATTTATCTTCACAGAAATTGTATGAGGTGGGTACTGATATCTCTGACTTTAGGCCTGGATCTTCTAGCTATTTCACTCTACTGCCTCCATAATCTACAGATATGGCCAAAGCGTGTTTTTACTTATGTGTATCTCATCATTTGATTGCTGAAATACAAATGGAAAGATTTAATTATGAGAATAGTTTTTCTTTTGTGCTTTTGTTCTTGCCCTTAAAAAATTTTTTTTATTTACTTCTTTTATTTCTGGGGAGGAAGGGACTCTGGTTTTCCCGTCCTCCTCAAACCCATGAAGCTAGAGAGGGACAAGGAGGTGGGTGTGGGAGTATGAGATTACACTACTTTATAAACGTCTCATGTTTGTTTCTGCCAGGTACCCCCTGGGTTATCACCAGCTTGCGACTTTTTATGTTACTTTCTCTGCTTAGGGGTTTTGAATAAGTGGGGATAGTATAAATATCATCCCAAATTGGAGCGAATCCCAAACGTGTATTACAGATTCCCAGAGAGAACTCCCCTCGACCTCACTACTACCCCTTCCACGCACACACCTGAGAGCCAGCCCAAAACATAAGCTTATTTCTCTGGCCAGTGATTAGAATTTTTCAGGTTTGAATTTTCACGGAAGATATATCTCATGAAGAGGGGGTCCTGGCCCCATATGAGAGTCTCACTTCTAATACTCTGTGTTTTGAAGCCCCAAAGCCTTGGATCTTATCTCCATTAAAATCAAATATATTCAGCTGCTGAGGCTGACAACCTCTTCTCCAACATTCTTCTACACACCTCCAGATCAGGGCTGCTGCAACATCTACTCATACATATTGCCTAGTCTGTGGCTCCCTCTTCATATTGAAACCCTTGGATATTTACCTTATTCTCATGAAAGCACAGTTATGCTTGCAGAAGGATGTTTATTATGTTTATCGAGCATTTCTAGGTGTTTTATTATAGTAGAGGGATATGCCAGAAACAAAAGACTCAGGCTACATTTTGTACTTGCCTCTTGCTTCCTCCTCTTCCCTATACTCAGAAATGAGGTCTTAAGATTATCCATGGAGTCACGTCCCAGGGGCTGAAGCAGTAGTTCTTTTTCTAACCCTAGTGTCTTTCTAAGGTGTAGCTGTCAATATTAAGAGTTTACATGGTGTCTTAGTTTTGCACTGGTATAAAGGAATACTTAAAGTCTGGGTAATTTATAAAGAAAAGGTTTATTTGGCTCACAGTTCTGCAGGCTGTACAAGAAGCATGGCACCAGCATCTGCTTCTGGTGAGGGCTTCACAGAAGTTCCACTCAAGGTGGAAGGCAAAAGGGGAGCAGGAGTGTCACATGGCAAGAGAGGAAGCTGGAGGTGGGGGAATGCCCATTTTCTTTTAAACATCCACCTCTCATGTGAGCTAACAGAAGGAGAACTCATTATGTCGGGGGGGGCACCAAGCCATTTATGAGGGATCTGCCCCCATGACCCAAACATCTCCTACTTAGCCCCACCTCCAACATTGGAGATCAAATTTCAATGTCAGATTTGGAGGGGACAAACATCCAAACATGGGTACTTGTACATTATTGCTTTTCTATACACTTTGTTTCTATTTTATCTTTGTTTATAACAGGTCAAGAACCTACCTTGAAGACTATATTAAATAAAATAGGAGATGAGATCATTGTAGTAAATGAACTTCTAAATAAATTGGAATTGGAAATTCAGTATCAAGAACAAACAAACAGTTCACTCAAGGTAATGTTTTCCTAATGAAGACACAGTAAAAAGGCAATAAATACAAACTCCCTAATCAACAAGTAATTCTTAAGGATTCTTTGTGTATAATGTTCTTAGCTTTATAAATTATTAATAGTATAGAGTGCCATTTGTGTTTTGTTTTGCCGGTATAAAGGTGTTGGGAGCATCACAGCTATTTCCTTCTTTATGCTAATGGCCAATGGAGTTGAACTTTACTAAAAAGAAGTGTTTTCTAAATAATTCTTGATACAGTTAATTTAAACAAATGATGTCCTGGTAGAGTGTTATATAAAGCAGTGGCCCCCCACCTTTTTGGCACCAGGGACTGGTTTCATGGAAGACAATTTTTCCATGTCCATGGCTGGGGGGTTGGGGACCACAGGTATTGATATAAAGAATACCTGCCTTGGGCGAGGAGATGTGGATTCTCACCTTGGCTGTGTCCTTGGCACTCTCTGCCACCCTGAGAAAGTCTTTTTACTTTTGGGGTCTCAGGATCCTCATTTGAAAAGTAATAAATCATACTGGACAGTTTCTTAGCTCCCTTATATTTCTCCATTTCTGTATTTTCATAAAATGTAATGGAAGGATTCACCAGTAAAGAAAAACTTGAGCCTCATTTACATGTACATTTTGTTCTAAATAAGACTTCTAATTGACTTCAGCTAATAAAAGTGCTTGTGGTACTTCCTGATGGGAAAATACTCAACCTGTACCATAATTGCCTCATGTTGTTAGAGCCGTTGAAGTGTTCAGTGGGATTGAACAAGGGACCCGTATGGTCCTGTTCAGCCTTTTATAATCCTTAATGCCTGAAAAGATTTTTCAGCTTAAGAATGGGCATGATTATGCCTATTAGTCAAAATAAATTAGTATCTATGAACATCATTCGCCTCTTCAAAAAAAAGATGTCCTACAAATTCAAAATGGAAACCAATATTGGTATTTCAGTTCTAACCTGCTCAAGAATGTCCAAGGTCAGCTGTGGACCTAGAGAATATTCATCTCAGAACTGAAGGCTGTTTGGAATTTCTATTCACATTATGATTGGGAACCCGATAATGGGAATCCAAAGGTGCAGAATATTTTCCTTATTAAAATCTGTGTGTGTTCATAGCCTCAAGTTCTAGTGGAAGTTGAGTAAAGACAAAAAAAAAAAAAAACCCAGTTATGATCAAGTAGATATTCATTAAGCTGGCATATATACAGGTCAACAATGGAAGTCATTCTAAGCATCATCTCGTTTGCCATCTGGGCGTGCATTATCCCTCTGCTGTCACACAGATAACACTGGGAAACATTTGCTGAGTCAACAAAAGCAATTTACCAGAATGAAAAACATAGATTTTTT